GCTGAGCAGCCAGATCAGCGCCGGGGTGTTCTCTCGCTGCATCACGAGGATCGGCTGAAGGAAACCCGTCTGTGATGCGGCTCTGACACGAACCGAATGAGCGAAGACCAGCACGGATTGCTGTCACTGGTCACTGTCAGTAGTACAACCAACATCAGGCGTTATGGTCAGAAGGACCTAGGCACAGGCGACACGCACAATCTGGCCGAAGGGAACTGTGAGCACCTAGAACATTAGAAAGATAATTGCATCTTAGATTCAGCACTGTGAAGTATTTCTGAACGAAAACAGCGCTTTTTCTGCATGTCCCTTCTGGAGTGGGGTCTTGCTTTCTGTGACTGTGAAGCTGTACACTGGCATGATGTGCGTTATCCTAGTGCAGGGCACGCCTACATTGCTGCTGTGTTTTTGCATACAAAGCGCAATTCCATGATTAATTGTTATTCTGGAAATACATCTCTCGAGTAGTGTGATCTCAGCTTGGCTGTTGCTGCACTGTTACCAGTCCTGAAGCTCATTCTTCAGATCTGATCAAAAGGAGCTGGCAGAGATCCCGTGTTGTGATTAATTCCTTGCTCACTAGCGTCTCCCCACAACAATTCATGGCAGGGGTGGTTTTCTTTCGGAAATCAGGCAGAAGGCTGGTTCACTGTACGTGTGTGGCGGAGCCGTTTACTATTTGTGCTACTATTGCTTTTCCTTACTAGGCTTTTCTTCTCTGTCATTGGATGCATCTCCCTCTATCAGCTGATTAACATTAGGACTCCGAAAAGGGGAACGCGTCTAACCATGAGCAGCCTAACCCTAAATCTTTACATGGGTACAGATTTATATGTATTCTCTAGCAGCATCTTTTTGACCAGCTGAGAGATACTTGCAGTTGTTGGCCAGAAGACTTTAGCTGTCAAAAGCCTCATTGATTTTTAACTGTGGCAACTTTTTGATGACAACTGTGAGATTTTGTGTTTCTGCTTAGTTGCTTGTACATGTACTTCATACCCGCTGGAGCAGCTTTGTGTCTGCCATTGCTGTAGTGATTCTGACCAGATAATGCAGGGGACCTCACTCTGAAAACAGTGGAGTTACTACTGTTGTCATTGAGAGCCAATTTTTGACTAAAAATTGAGGACTAGATTTGCAAGGTTTCCTGCTAATTGTTTGCTGCTTTTGCCTGAAATGTCTAAGGCTGATTGATCCATCTTGGGTGCCTGTGATTGCTCTGGGTTCAGGTATGTTGGCTTCACTACTTGTGATGAAATGTAACTTCGGAGGGGGATCTGGGAACAACAGTAAGAACGATCTCAACTTGATTTCCTTCTGTACGACCAGTTCCGTTCAGCTGTGCGGGGGATGTATCGCTGCCACGTACTATATCGGTGCTGGAATGTTTCTGTGACATTTCTGTACTGCTGTTGCTGTAGCTCTCTGGTATTAGTAGAAGTGAAGTGCCAGTCAAACAGCGTTATTGTCACTGCTGTGAGGTTGCGTAACTTTGCTAAAAGCTAATCGAGACACAGAGAGGTAGAAACAGTACTCCTTGCGGTTACTGGTTTACGTAGCTACTGGGGATGATGTGCAGACAGAAGATTTTAGTACAGAATCTCGAGAGAGACAGGACTCTGCCATTCTACCCACAGTGCAGGCTTGAGGAAGACACTATTTTAATAAAACCCCCATGTTGATATACTTCACTTTTCCAAAACAACATCTCTGACAGAAACACTTTCTAGTTTTTCCTTACGTGTATTCAGTCTATGGTTTCAGCTAAAGCTGTGGCATCCCCTTGCCAAACTTTGTTGTAAGGCGGTTTTTGCTCACCTGTACGGCCGTCTGAGTTCAGTGCCGAGTACCCGCGCTAGAAAGAGGATTGTGGCTGGTATCGTCATGGGGGTTGATCATTAACGTTGCCAGATTTTACCTCGTCAGGCAGAAATACACAGTAAACTTTGCAGAAGTGGCTCTAACGATAGCAGCGGAGGGGAAAAGGTTCCTCGTTTGGAGGTTTCAAGCCCTGCTTGCAAGCTGTGCTGCGGACAGGATCTGCTGCTTAGTGAGCGTTACTGAGATCTGGTAGGAATATCATTTCATGCCAGGAGTACCTGTCAGCAGTCCTAGAGATTTCTTGGTCAATACTACAGCTATCTAGGAGCATTCTGGGAGAAACACTGTTAATCAGCAATCCCCAAAGTAATTTCACAAGTGGGAATAACTTGGGAAAACTCCTCTTGAGCTGAACATCTCAGCGTTTCTGGATATATATTTTGTCTGACTTCTCAGTATGTTTTGGCACAGCTTAATTCCCCTTCCAAAAGCAACTGCTTCTTCATGGAGGGGGAAATACTCAAGATTGATTACCTTCCCTTCCCCCCTCCCAAACACTTCCAAACAGGAATAGGAAACAAATGATGGGCTGACAATATGACTGCTTACCCATGCAGCACAATCTCCATGGAAACAGACTGTCCTAGAATAGCTCAATCACATGAGGGTTACATGACATGAATAAAGTAACCAGAAAACTGGAAAAAAAATCTTAGAACAGGAGATACTTAATTCATTACCCCCCAGCTCATTGGAGGGTGGCTAATACACAAAGCTAGTATTGAAACCAATTTAGTGCATGCATATCATAATTTGTAAGTGATAGGATAGTGGAAAATTAACATGATCCTTGCTTAAGGGCTGTTTATTGTTTCCAGTTTGAATGAATTTTGAATAATTTTCCACATGACCTCCTGCTTGTGAAATTGGTACCAGCATTTTGCAGTATTGCCGTAGATCCGGGTGGGTTTCCTCCCTGTGTATCAGCAGGCACTGACCACTTCACACTTCTCAGGACGTTTTGGATATTCTAAGGAGTAAATGCACTGGTTGAAGTAGGAACCACCTGTGCACAGAAGGAATTGCAAAGTTACCGTCAGAATGTTTCCTTCTAGTTAATCACGTACTCACAGGGCAGGGAGGTTTATTGAGTGTAACCATATTCAATAAAAAAAGAGTGTATTGCACTGATGGTTAGTTTTCTGTCTGTAAAGTCAGTGTTTTTACATGAGCGTTGTGACAGTCACTGAGAAACCTGTTATACAGATCGGATATAAACAAGTGAATATTCTACCAGTTCACCATAAAGTGAATTACAGCTAGGTAGGAAAAAAAAATCATTAGTCATTAGCTGCAGGTCACTGCATCATTAGCACGTTGTAGCTCTTTCAACAGGGCGAGGACGCGGTAATCTCTGTGGGCAGGCAAAGATCATCCGTTACCTTTTCCTGTTTGTCCCGTCCCAGATCCCATTATTTGTCACAGCTTCCACTTCCGGGATGAAGCTTTGTAGTCAGATTTTTTGGTCTGTTGCGTGAATGAAGACCACGACGTCGTCATGCATTTACATGAGTACATTTGCTGTCTTGGTGCCCCTGACAGGCAGCAGCAGCATGTCGACCATCTGCCTGCTGGCAGAGGCCGGAAACGGGCCTTGCGCGTTGGTCGGTGGACGGGGAGTAAACATTAGTGTGAAGACTGAGCTCCTCGGGGTGTGACTTTGATCACTGCGCGACTGTAGTGCGTCGGAAGAGAAGCCGGAGTGCTCAGCGGTAAGCGACTGTGCTATTTTGGACAGTCTCTGAAAACAGTTCTTGTGTTGCTTGTGACTGCTCATGTTCAGTACAGCAACACTGCACCGTTACTTCAAACTGTTTTCAACTCTCTTGGAACTTTTCAATGTTTCCCTTAAATGCACTTCTGCTGGAGGAAATCTCTGGACGGGCCATCAGTTAGGGCCTGGCTTCCTAAAGACCTCCTGGTCATTTCTCTGTTTCTCACTTCACGTCTTCAACACGTCACCGGCGCTTTGTGACTGACGTTATCGCCTGTTTATACGGTGCTTTCCTTCCGTGCGGTCGTGCCCGACAAAGGGAAGGCTTACTCTGAACAGCGTCACGTGGGAGAAGGTTACCAGCGTCGGGTTTGGTGTCTGGTGCGCGTCATGGTTACCGCGGCCTGCCCCTCAGGGTAGCTGGCGCCGCCTGCGCGTCCGAAGCTTGCGCCTCTAGCAGTCTCCCTTGCCCGGCTTTGCTTAACACAGCAAATGCCGAACCATGTCTCTCTTTCGAGCACCTAACCTGGGTTCTTCCTTACAGCTAGGTTGGGATTCGTCCAGGCTGTTGGTCCCTGTGGCCGAGGGGATGTGGTGTTCCTAGAGAGCTTACCGTTCTTCCCTCCCTGGCTCGGGGAAAGTGATGCGCTGGTTTTTGCCGTTTGTTTCCTTTGAGTGACGGGCTTTCAACTTGCGAAGAAGCACAATGGGTCGTGCAGTTTTTGATTAGTTGATTGATGACACCGCAGGTGTCCCCCACTGTTGCAGAACAGGGGGTTTCGCCAGCCACCCTTTCCCCGTTGCAGTCTAATACCTGGGCTTTGGGAGAGGATGAAGGGAGTGAATATTATAACTGCCTATTGACTGAGCATGAAAACAAGATTTTCCTTTTTTAAAAGAGCACAATGTTTATTCCCCTGGGACTGCTCTGTCCTTTAAAAAAAAAAAAAAAGTGTGTTGGACTCTGTCTTTATTCCAGTAAATGGAGTAAGGGCAGTGAAACAGTTTAATTCTGATGCAGCTTACACTTGCATCCGGCCCAGCGCGATTTGCTCTGAGCACCTCAACTTGGCCAATAAAGTCCTGTAGATAACGTATTACTTTGCGTAAGCATACGTAACTTCTCTTGGTTGTGTTTCAGGACATTTGCAGGGGCGGTGTTTGGAAACGTTGGTTTCAGTCTGTGCAAACTCAGAAATGAGTCAGTTTGCATTCTGGGTACAACAGGCAAAAGCAGCTTTCTGGGCGGGCGGCAAAGGGGACGAGGGGGAGGCTATGCCAGCTGCAATCCAGGCGAAACTCCGGTAAACATGGGCTGTTGAAACAAGCGCTTCCAACTGCTGCTAAAGCCTCCTCAGTGAGCTGTAGCTAAACAAACAAATGTTTTGTTGTCTCAGACAGAAAAATGAAAACCTACCTGGCCATTGGTTTCTTCCTCCTCTTCGTGATCAGCTATGGCTCTTCGGAAAACTCCAGTACGTCCAGAGGGTGCGGACTGGACCTTCTCCCTCAGTACGTGTACCTGTGCGACCTGGATGCCATCTGGGGAATAGTGGTGGAGGCAGTGGCGGGGGCGGGCGTGCTGACCACCTTGTTGCTGATGCTGATTTTGCTGGTGCGGCTGCCCTTCATCAAGGACAAGGAGAAGAAGAGCCCCCTGGGAATGCACTTCCTCTTTCTTTTTGGGACTCTTGGACTGTTTGGGCTGACGTTTGCTTTCATCATACAAGAAGATGAAATGGTGTGCTCTACCCGAAGGTTTCTGTGGGGAGTTACCTTTGCTTTGTGCTTCTCGTGCTTGCTAGCTCAAGCCTGGAGACTTCGCAGACTGGTTCGCCATGGGAAGAGTCCGTCTGGCTGGCATCTGGCTGGTGTGGCGATCTGCCTGATGCTCGTGCAGGTCATTATTGCAACCGAGTGGTTAATACTGACGGTTGTCCGAGATAACAAGTTGGCCTGCAGCTACGAACCAATGGATTTTGCTATGGCTTTGATTTATGTTATGTTCCTGATGGTGTTTGCCATGGGATTTTCGCTTTTCACTCTCTGTGGGAAGTTTAAGAAATGGAAGAAGAATGGAGTATGCCTCATTATTACACTTTTTTTTTCCATTCTGATTTGGGTAGCCTGGATGACTATGTACCTCTTT